TACAATTTTACTAGATAGAGATTTGATATGAGAATAAATTAGTTCTAATCTAATATAATATTAAAATAATAAGTTATAACTATAATTATATAGTTTATTTAATAAAAAGTTGGATAGAAAAATACCTGCTCTTTAAAAAAAATTAATTTATTATTAATACAATTTATATTAATTAATTTATTACATAATTTAATAATATATATATAAATTTATATATATTTAAACTTTTGCAAGTATACAAATCTAAAAAAAATTATATATAGATTGCAAATTAGATATAATCTTAGTATAATATAAAATAAAAGGCTTTTTAAAATATCAAAATTTTGTTTAAAAAATTATTTTTTATATTCTAATAAAAAATTTTAGTTAAATTTTACTATATAATTTTTTTATATCAATTTTAACTCTAATACTAATGCTGATTAAAATTTTATATATATTTAATTAATAAAAGTTTGTAATTTATAGTAGTCTACTATTTTGAAGAATTTTATATATAAATTTTTATAGTATTTAAAAAATTTTGCAAATTAGCTAATCAGATTTTGAGATCAAAATTTTAAGCTATAACTAATTTTTTAAAAAATATATACTTTTTATATTATATCTAATCTTGCAATTTGATTAGCTATACAAAATTTTTTAAGATGTTTTTAGAGTAGTTCAAAATAAGTATTACAAAACAATGTAATTGACTATAGTAAATCATTATAATTAATTATAGATTTTTGCTTTGCATATAACTTGTTTTATTTGCAGAAATAAGTAAATTTGCTAAATTTGAGATAGGGCCAATTGGGATAGAACATAAACTAATTAATCAAATTTATATTAGCTAACTATATAATTTATTATAGATTTTTTTTTAATATTAAAGTGATCTCATAGTTGGTAGTTTTATTGGTTTGTATATTAAGCTGATCATAGTTAGCTGCTACTTATTTGCTCATTTGGTATATAATTTTGGAGGATACAACTAGCCATACATACAACTTTTGATTGTCTATTTAAGCAGTCCATCTGAAGGTTCTATACTAGATATTATATTTATAATCTAACTAGAGGATTATCTATTTAAACTTTCTATACCATCATATTCTTGTGCAGCAACCAATCCTGCTATAGGAAGTATATCTATCTAGAGCTAATTTATCCTTGAGATAAACTTGTTAGAGCTTTTTATACCTACAATCTGGTTAATCTAGACTTCAGTAATTTATACCAAGTCTGAGAACAAGTACTTGCAAGCCAAAACTGCTACTGTTACTTATTTCTACCCTTGTAAAGTTCACTCAAACTCTAGTACATACTTTACAAACTATTAAGGGTACCCACCAAGTTCTAAACTACCAATCTAATAATTTAGAAGAGACTTTCATCTAAATTACTGATCCTCTGAGAACCGCAAATTAAGCAGATTCTTTCTTTTAGTTCTGATAGCCTGGTTGGTAGAGTGCCTCTTTAAACATTTTAATTTCACTAATCCTGATCCTGTTTAATTCTTAGTTCTCATAATAATAGTCTTTTATGTAGTACTGTCAAAGATTTGTGCTACTTCTCTATTTAGATCTTGCCAAGCAAGCATCCATTTTTCTGGTTTCTTAAATTTATACAATTTAGAAGCTTATTTGTAAACTTATATATTATACAAATATTCTATAATCTTTCAATTTTGTTGATATAACCAAAGTTATAGAGATTCTGTTTTAACTGATTGATGAAAGACAATAGCTATTATACAGATAGAATATTCAAAATTCATTACTAGTGAGTTTCAAACCTCTATCTAGCAAACATATCACTTGAAGATGCAACAACTTAACTATTTTACTAAGTTGCTATACCCTTTATTATAGATTTTTATATTATACAAGTATAAATTAATTTTATTATTATTAGTTATATTAATTATTTTAAACAATTTATTGATATATTAATTATTTATTTTTATTCAAATAAATTATCAAATAATATATTTGCTTTTTTTTATATTTACTATTATTAAGATTTTTTGCTTAAACCTTTTATATAATTGATATTTCTGTTTATATTCTTCAAATTAAATATTTATTAAAATTAGTCTATTTAGAAATTATTTAATTTATTAACAAAATATAATATTATCTAAAAACTTTTACAAGTTGTTTAAAAAGTATAGAAGAATAAAACTAAGCTTAAAGATTTTTTGTTAATAAAAAAATTTTAAATATTTGATAAATATAAAATATTAAATTTTATTAAAATTATTTTACTTGATATTTGCAAATTAGAACTAATATAAATTTTAACAAAAAAATTAGATATAATTTATTACAATAGTCCTTATAATAATTTTTAATCAAAAAAATTAAAAAATTAAATCAAAGTTCAGATAAATTTTTAGAATTTAGTATTTTTTTAAAAAAATTAAATAGATAAGACTAAACAGTATCCCATATACTTTGTGCTTCCTCTTAATTAACCAATAAAATTGCAAAATCAAGTGTAATATATAGATCAATTTTGTGTAACAAAAACAATCATGTATAACAATTTTGTATAACAAAAATTAAAAACTAATCATATTTCAAAATTTTATTATAAAACCTCTTTGGAGCTCTAACAAAAAAATTTCTTGTAAAATTTTACTATATATTATGTCTAATTCTAATCTCTAAAAACTGTCTTTATTTTGTTATTAAAAAATTTTAATTTTTATTTTGATAAATTATTTGTTACACAAAATTGATAATCATTTAAGGCACAAAGTGCATAGAATATTGTTTAGATTTATTCAAATTAAATTATATAAAATAATATTAATTTAATTTTTTTAATTTTACTGATAAAAAATTTGATTATAGTAAAATAAATATTTTTTTTTTATTTCAGCATGTTTTGCTATTGTTTTATTAAATGTAAACTAAGCAAAAATTACAAGAATTTTTAACTAAAATTATTATTTATTTAATCACAACAAGTGATTAACTCAATTTTAAAAGCCTAGATACAATATTGCCTAGTGGCAATTTGCCTTCCTTTGGGCTTCTAACTTACTAGAGGTATGAATTCTTCAATAATTGGCTGGTGCTATACACCATATCAGTATTATCTTTTCTTTTATAAAAATGAAATACATATACAAATTCAAAGACAAAAAAAAAAGGTGAGATACTTCAATATCTAAATTCAATCTACTGAGTTAAACCAAAGCAAATAATATATAGAAGAGAAAAAAACAAAATAAAAGAAAAAAAAACAAAGATAACACTATTAAATCTATACTGGATTGTAAAAATTATGGTATATAGTACTATTAAATAATCTAATTAAGCCTTATACTAGTTATTTAAGTCTATATCTAGAATATTAAAAAGAAGAAAAAACTATCCATTCTTGAGTAGAGATTCAAGTTCAAAATTTCTATTCTATTTTATTCTATTCTCATTAAAACTTCTACAATACTACTTGAATATAGTCTTTCTATATAGTTTTTCCTATTATGCTCTATAAGCCCAACTGAGTCAAGACTTTTGTTATGACCTATAAAGACAGAAAGTTGAATAACTTTTTATTCTAAAGTAAACATGTATATGTATGCATGTCTTTTTTTGGTAGTAAATATGATTATATTTTTATTAGATATACTGAAGTTGTTTCTTAAACTATATATAATCATATAATATAGAGTCAATAAAGTTGTTTGTTTTGATTAATATAGATCAACCTGATGAAGAAAAAAATTTTTCAAAAATTTAAAAATTTTAAGTAGTAGATTGCAGTAAAAATTAGCAAAAAATACAAAAAATACTAAAGTCTAACCTCATAAACAGAAATTCATCTAATTGGCTAATAAATTTAATTTAATTTTATATTATTTAGATAGTTTAGAATATTTTGTAAAAAATGAAACCAGACAAGAATTGGAGATTATTTTTGGCTATAAAATTTTATAGCTTTAATAAAACCTTTTATACAATATTTTTTATTTTATTATAATTAGTTTTTATTTTTTAAAAAGTATTTTAAACTGTATAAATAATATAAAATTAAATTGAATTTATTAGCTAATCAGACAAACTTTTGTCTATAAAATCTAACCTTTTTACAGTTATATACTTGGTTTCAAGAAATTTTATACTTATAAAAAATTATGCTTATATAGAGATTAAATTTCTTAAATTTTATATAAGTTAGTTTTATAGATTAGCGTAATTATAAAATATTGTGACAATATAGAGAGTAATATAAAAGCAAACTGTATTACTTTATATAATATTAAAATACTGAAAGTTTCTGGTAATATGTAAAAATCATATAGTCATAAAGGTGAAAATGCCAATAATTTGCGATTTACTAAACTAATTTTAATAATTCTACTACTATTAGAACTAAAATAGCTTGCTTTATAATATTTGCTAAAAATTTAAAAGATTTACTTGGTATAACAAAACTTTTTATTGTGAACTAGCTGCATTTCGCTCCAATAAAAAAAACCACATTAACTTTTGACAATTTCTGTCATTAAATTTGCTATTTTTACATCATTTAACCTCTTAAATTTTTTAAAAAGTTGATTTTTGATATTTTTAATTTATTAAATTTTGATTGGCTAAATTTTCTATAATTTGATTGGTTGTTTAACAAAAAAGACGTATTAATAAAAAAATAATTATGCAAATTTATATTATTAATAATTAAAATTATAATTTAAATTATTGTTTTAAAATTATAAACTATATTTTTTATATAAAATAAAAATTATATCATGCTATATGTCCTATTTTGGATCGTTTATATAAAAATACAGTATTTTTAAACTCTAATAACTCAATAAAAAATAATTATTTTTTTAAAAAAAGCCGCTAATTTGTAGTAAATTAACTTAGCTACAAAATAGTGACTTCTGTTTTTTTATATTATTTTTGTAGCATGAACTATTAGCTTTTAAAAATTGGCTATTTTTATTGTCGTTTCTAAGTATCCTACACTGTACCTCTAATTAAAAGTCAAAGCATATGACTGCACACGGCTTTAACTCAAGTAACTTATTAACTGTTATATACTCCATTTCACATTTCTACTATACATAGAATTTTCTATAAAACTTTTAAATAAATAACATTTATTATATATGAAAAGATACATAATTCATTTATTCAATACCTATTCCTATTCTTCTTACTTCAATGTATGTTCGTATGAAAGAGTTTTTTTAGCGCCATATTCAGAATTAAATAGAAGAATTAGAGGACCTCCTCGTCTTCTTCAAAAAGATTATGGTTTAGAAGGAACCTTAGCTACAGTTTTAAAAATTGAAGAATTTGATATTCCAGAAATTAATAAAATGATATCTTGAAAGAGATTTTTTGGTACTCTCTATCAAAGACAGTTAGTGAAACAGACTGTCAATAAATTGGTTTGTTGTCGGCGAAATATACTAAAACTATTTTTTCATAAGGAGTTTATTTTATCAACAGCTCATTTCATAGACAATTTATTTCACCGACAGCTCATTTCACAGACAACTTAATTCTAGTCATTGTCATTGGGCTTAGCTTAGAACTAGGGTTAAAATTGGTGCAACCAGTGTCTAAATTAACGTGCGGAAGGGGCGGAGGCGCACATTAACAATTTTCCGCACCTTAAAGACAAAAAATACTTTGCGCAAAGTGCATGTGAGTTTTAAAATTATAGACGAAATGCGCACATTAAAATTTTTATATTCATATATGTTTTTAAGCTATGATGTGCGCTATATTTATTGTGCAGATAACTTGCTAATTAACGTTAATGATCAAATAAAAGTATTTATATCTAAGATTTATTGATATCGAACTTGTATCAATTTTAAAATGAATAAATTTGTTATATTGAAATACAAAATAATTATTCTATTTATTTAGTGCTATTTGTTTGCGCACGTTTAAAAAAAATGTTACGTACTCTGCAACGCATTAGAATCAATACGTAATGTGCGGTCCGCTAACGATCTTGATGCTGAATTTTAGACACTGAGTGCAATTATAAGAAAAAAAACTTTTCTGTGAAATGATCTGTTGGTGAAAGAACTGTCTATGAAAATGAGCTGTAGATGAAATAAACTTCTATGAAATAAACTTATTCGTGAATGAGTTTTCTGTAAAATGAACTTGTCTTTGAATTACAACTCACTCTCGTTATAGTGAAATGATTAGCTGAGAGATTTTCTTCACTATATCGAAAGTCTATTAGTAAATTCACTATATTGAGAGGGTTTTTATATAAACCGTTCTTCACAATAACGAGAGGTTCACTATCACGAAAGTGAATTGTAATTGCCGGTGAAAAAGGCATCCATGAAGTGATTGTCAGTGAAATGATACGGGTCTCTACAGTACGGAACAGTCACTGCATTAAATAGATAAGAACAATATAAACATTCATTTTTTAATGCAAAATATTAAAAGGTGTCAAATTTTAATAAGGGCATCTACTTTTTAATATACGTATAAATCATTACGCTTACTGCGCTTTTCCAAAATTACTGTAATTAGCAAATTTAGACATCACACATAACATGGGAATCTGAGAATTAAAAATTTTTAAAATGTGTAAATTTTATTCTATTACAGTATTAAAGTCAAAATAACATCCCTCGTTAATTTAAATATTTAAAACTATTTTCGAATTTCATTAATCTATAAAATTCGAAAATAGCCTTAAACATTGAAAATAAGCAGAGTATTAGTAAGGTTCCTTCATTTAAAATTTATGAGAGATAATTAACAAATCAAAAATTTTTATTATTTGGTCAACCAGCAGAAAGATCTAGTATAATAATGGATATTATGCTGGGAGATTGGTATTACAACGTGAATCTTTGGAAATGTTGTTATTTTCGCAAAAAATAGAAAATTTGTAGATTCCTGTGATGGGTAATCACAGTAATTTGAAAAGCACAGTAAATTATATATCTTATACAATTTTAAGAATATAACATTAAATCATAAATAATAAATACAGCCAACTCTCTCTAAGTGCAACAACTTTCTAATGGAGCTTTAAATTCTGCCAAAGTGTATGTTTGATTTCTATAAATGCATTTCATAATTATTTTCTAAATGCAAGCAGAAAAACGTCTGATCCCAGCGAATTACACTCAGAGAGTTGACTGCATTCAAAATGATGTATGCAATTAAGCGACAAGCAAATAATTAAATTATCGTATATACATTATTAGCAAGAATTGTAAAGTTTAAATTTCATCTACCTTTTTATTTTTGAAGCTCTTTTAATTATAACGTTAACAGAATAAAGGAAACTTTAAGCTATTTTAAAAAGGTGTTAACAACGTTCGTTAGAACGTTTGAATAATATCAGAGAAGTCTGCAGAAAAAAAACATTTATTATGATAGATTTTATAAGGATACGTATAACTTTTTACCTTCAAGGAGGATAATGATCATATACCCTTTATGCTCAATGCATACCTTTTGCTTTTAATATGAATATTCATGTAAGGAGCTATCATTGTTATGAATGCGCAGTCATTGTTTAAAGAAGCATGGTGGGAATACACGTTATTTTTAAAGAAAACAATCATCTATCGTTGTTATTAGAATACGTATCGTATAAACTTTGATACCATAGATATTAAATTCTCACATCGTCGGGCTGGAACTATTGTGGATTTAGAATTCACCTAGGTTGATTCCAAACAGAATAAATAAAATTAAGTGCATTCTAAATTATTTCATTGAGTACGTTGTCTTGGGTTTAAGTCGCTCGCTTTAAGATCCGATTTATTCATAACACAACGCATTGAAATTAATTAAATTTACTGTAAAAACATAAAGTTTTACCTCTGTGATTAGTGGGATGGCAAAAAGTTCATTATAGAAAATTACTATGTTTTTAAAAAACTCATTGCACTTTTATACAAACTATTATGAAATTTCAAAATTTTGGGTTCGTTATATCCAGAATTCGTATAGAAAAGTTCGTTATATCCAAAGTCGGCTGTATTATCTAGGTCTAAAAACTTATCAGGACCCAGTGAAAGCAATTCATTAGCATTATACGTAAATTATACGTAATTTAATAATGCCGGATTTGAATCTAAGTCTATATGCGTCATCCTTCGAAACTTTGAGGATCCTGCATGTGGTTTTCGATCGTTATGCCTGCATTTGCTGTATTTTGTAAAACATTAATACAAAAATCAAAACAAAGTGTTTACGTCAACTATTAGCAGATTTGTTGCTAAGATATTTGAAAAGCAATTCTGAATGCGTTACGAGATAAAAATGAATAATCTTGAAATTCGGTTATTGGGTAGAGTGTTGCAAAGATCGAAAAAAGTGAAATAAGGGAAAAAAATAATAATTTTTTTATCATGACGATATGATGTAATTTATTTGTCGTAACTATTGTTACGTTAATCGATTACACACTTAACTGTTAATATAGTATCAATTTTTTTTAAATTTCGTATCAACTTGGGCTACATTTGGAATTCTGTTCCAACCTACGCGTATCGGTATACATAAACAAATAACGGATTTATTTATTTATTAATTTTTTATTAATGAAAAATAGATCACATGAATGTACATACTTGGCATTATTCGACTGATGTTTACTATTAAGAAAAATATATTGTTGCCGCTTCATTGATAGTAGCCAATTTATTCCCGGCTCTTATTATACTTCTAATCTATCCTTAAAAGCAAAATTAGTATTCTATAAAGTTTAGCATTATTACAATCATAAGACTTTGGTTTCTACTGTTTTCTTATTGTTTTCTTTAGCCAGCAACTTTTTAATTATACCAATTTAAAAAATTTGTAGTAATAATTAAATGTGTAATTAAAAGGAAATATGAAGATTCCGGATTAGTCCGAATCTGAGATCCGGAAAACAAGCACGAAAAAATAAT